GGGAGGCCCTGCGCGGGGCCAGCCGGAGGTCCCGGGCCCGCACCTGGCCCAGCAGGCTCTGCAGACGGCCCAGCTTCTCCCTGAAGCCAGAGGTCGCCTCAAGGTCGCCGGGGTCCCCGGGGCCGGGGAAGGTGAGGCTGGCCTGGAGGGCTAGCCTTTGAATCAAGGGAGCCCCGTCGTCGTCTCGGGGCTTGCCTGGCTCTTCCTCGGAGCGCCACAGGCGCCTCCAGCCTGCCTTCCACTTGCTGAAGCCCCATCCAGTCCACCCCTTGGGGTCCCGGGCGGCTGCCATGCTTCCCCGAAAGCCCAGCAACTACCGCCGTGCGCACGCGCAATGCCCGCCACCCACGGCAGCCACGTGGGCCGCAACCGTCCAGTCCGCTGCCCGGCCCCTGCCCTCCCCGCCCCTGGGTGCTCTCTAGTTTCTGCTGCTCAGTTCGGCCCTTTTTATAGCTATTAAAAATAGCATGGCCGGGCGCCGGTGGCTCACGCCTGTCATCCTAGCCACTCAGGAGGCTGAGATCTGAGGATCACAGTTCAAAGCCAGCCTGGGCAGTGAAGGCCTGAAACTCTTATCTCCAATGAACCACCACAAAACTGGAAGTGGCGCTGTGGCTCAAGTGGTAGAGCACTAGCCTTGAGCTGGAGAGCTGAGGGGCAGCGCCCAGGCCCACACAACAGACAAATAAAAATAAAAAGTGCCATGAATAAAGAGGGGGGAGGAGAGGAAGCCTTAAGACCCGGGGAGGGGGTGCCATTTTAGTTGTCAAAGTCTAAAGAAAAATTCATTCTACTCAGGATTAACAGTCTAATGAGAACTGTCACTCCCAACTCACATCTCTTCTGGTAGGTCTAGGACAGGCTACCAAACCCTTCATAAATCTCAGTAAGGAAAGTGCTGTGATTAAAAATAAATAAATAAAAAGTCGGGGGCTCACACCTGTCATCCTAGCTACTTAGGAGGCTAAGATCTGAGGATCACCAAAGCCAGCCCAGGCAGCTAAGTCCCTGAGACTCTCATCTCCAATTAAAAAAAAATCCACTCAGAAAACTGGAAATGGTGCTGTGGCTCAAGTGGTAGAGCACTAGCCTTGAGCTGAAGAGCTGAGGGACAGCACCCAGGCCCAGAGTGGAAGCCCCACCACTGACAAAAGCAAACAATAAAAGCCACTCAGGTGGCTCACACCTGTAATTCTTGTTACTCAGGGGGCTGAGATCTGAAGATCCAGGTTTGAAACCAGCCCTGACAAAAGTCTGTGAGACTCTTTATCTCCAGTGAACCACAAAAAAAGCTACAAGAGCAGATGTGGCTTAAGTGGTAGGGAACCAGTCTTCAGTGAAAAAGCTAAAACACAGTTCCCAGGACCTAAGTTCAAGCTCACGTTCTGAAACACACACACACACACTTTATAAAGGGGATAGAAGGCTAGGCTAGGAAGGTGGTTCAGTGGTAGAGTGCTTGCCTTGAGTACATGAGGCCCTGGGTTTGATTCCTCAGTACTACATAAGCAGAAAATCCGGAAGTGGCGCTGTGGCTCAAGTGGTAGAGTTCTGGCCTTGAACTGAAGAGCTGAGGGACAGCGCCGAGGCCCAGAGTTCAGGCCCAACCACTGACAATATAAATAAATAAAATTTAGGGGCTGGGAAGGTGGCTCAGTGGTAGAGCGCTTGCCTTGCATGTATGAGGTCCTGGGTTCGATTCCTCAGCACCACATAAACAAAAAAGAAAAAAGCCGGAAGTGGTGCTGTGGCTCCAGTGGTAGAGCGCTGGCCTTGAGCTGAAGAGCTCAAGAGACAGCACCCAGGCCCAGAGTTCAGGCCTCATGACCGGACCCAAAAAAATAAATAAATAAAATTTAAGAAGGCAGGGGGGAGGGTGAATGGGGGGAAATAGAGGCATGACTGAAATGGCAGAATAAATACCAAACAAGTATGAAATATTGAATTCAATCTAGTGCCACTTTCTATTACCCAAATACTACTCTACCATACATGCTGGGGTTTTTTCGGGCATGGAGTGAAGGGAAGTATTCTTTTTCGTATGATTTGTGTGGGTGTGCAGTGCCAATACTGACATTTAGACTCAGAGCATGACTCAGAATCACTAATTCCTCAACCCCCAAACATTCACAAAAGTGAAAGCAGCCATTTTCCTTTTCCACACCTGGTTGAATACAAGAGGGGCTGGAAGCCCCCAGGGTGGCAGGCAGCATGGGGAGGTGGGGACACAGCTGTGGTGAATACAGCTTGCAGAGTCTGACCAGCAGGGGGCAGGAGAGGCCGTCCTAGTGCAGAGAAGCCTGTGGTCAGCACACACCAAGCCCACACCTGAGGCTCCTGAGCCAACTGTGAGGAGTGTCCAGGGCTTTGGCATCTGGCCAGCAGGGAGGGGCTCTGGGAAGGAGGGCCTTGCTCCAGGGACTGGCTCTCATTGCCACCTAAAGTCTGCAAGGCCTCGGGCCCACCTGTGGGGCAAATGGCCAACCTGGGATCTCCCCAGTCAGAGTGGAGGCAGGGACGCGATGTAGTCTTAGGCCTGTGACCCAGACCTAGGGAGTTCCTCAGAGCCACGGTGCCACAGCCAATGCCCAGCACAAGGACGCTGACGTACCATTAGCCGTCTGCAGCAGTGAAGAACTCCAAGGGGCTCCTCAGGCACCTGAGGAGAGAGCAAATGGCTACACCTGAGAACTGCTGGAGACATTCGGGGTTGGACAGCCTCAGAGGAGAGGACCATGTGGAACAGGATCCAGGCTGCTGTGACCACAGCCAGGATGCTGTGTGGTGAAGAGCCTGACTGCAGTCACAGACACCCTCCAGGGGTCTGACCCCAAGGGCAGGTGTCCTGGAATGCTGGTATTCCCCAGACCCCACTCACCAGACAGGTTCTCTGCAGTTCAATAGGGAGAGAAAGCTTCAGAAGTACAAAGCGATCAAGATGTTACTGGAGTTCTAGAAAGAGATGAGAATGGAAGAAAGAATCCCAGGGAGGAAGCAAGGAGAAGAGGAAGG